GGGGGGGGAAAGGGAGGGGGGAGGGGTGGGGGGGGGGGGGTTATGCTTGGAACAGATAATGAAAAAGGAAAAGGGGAGCCTCGGATTGGACATAGGGAAGCATAGAGAGAGTGATGGGGGAGGGCAAGGGTGGTAGGTAGGTGGAGTTAGATAAACGGAAAAGGGGGAGTGGGACCAAGAAAGGGAAGGTGCAGGGACTGATGGAAGGAAAGAGGAGGTTGTGATTGGACAGTGTGAAGGGGGCACATGATCATATATGGTGGTAAGGGAGGTCGTTAAGGATAGATGGAAGAAACAGAGGTGGAGAAGGTAGGCTCAGGCAGAAAAAAATAATCTTTTTGACAGGACTAGATTAATGCTTGACAAGCATGAAAAACCCAATAACCTAAATCACCAGATAAATGAATATTATGATCTCATCCATAAATATTAACAAGCATATTTTTCTGCCTGTGCTCCCCAGGCTGTGAGCGGGTTAAGAAACCAGACTAGAGATAATGCCATGGAAGGAGGACTTCTGTTCATCACTTAGGCTCAAATTAGCAGCTCAGATTCACTCATCCATCTTCTGCAAACTGCACACACACAATGCTGACTTCATCTCAAACACAGTTATATTTAAAGCATCTATCATGTCAGCTGTGATTTAGATGGTGAATTTCTTAATTGTCTTCCTTTATTTCTCCATATGTCTTTTTCAAGGCATTAGCTCTTCTCGTCGAAGCCTTAAAGCTGCCATGTGAATTTCCCGAGAATGCTGGCCCATCAGTCTTTAACATTGTTACAAGGGTAATTGAGGTACACAGGAAAGCAGCGACACACCATTGAAGCCTTGCTGCATGCTATTTTTATTTTCTACGGGATGTAGCGAGATACGTGAAAAACCACTGTTTAAAGTCTGTTTAAAAAAAGACCACTCCCCCATTCCCTGAAGCACACCCCCCCCTCCCCGCCACACACACATAGCTTTTTTTTCCAATGGTCTACTGGCTGGTCCAATGACGTCAGGGTTAATTTTTTTGCTCCTCCAGCCATGGCAGGGGGCAGTCCTCCCTGCAACATTTAACTATGCTCAGGTAATGGTGTGTGAGTGCTATTTAGTGCAATAATACTCAGAGCCCAGACCGCATGATGACACCACCCCTGTGGGTGAGTATATGACGCCCTGGGCTCACAGATAGTGGGTTAAATGATACTGACCATCATTCAATACAGAAAACTGAGGACATCTAGTGGCAGAGAGGAATTACTGCAGGAAGCAGCTCCAGATTTAAGGTGATTATTGCTGTAAAAGTTGTTTTTTAATTTTACTATTAGAAGGGGGAAAGGCAATACAACCACTCATCTTTTAAATGTTGCCCTTATATTTGCTCTTATATTACCTGAGCACAGTTTATAATAAAGCTCAAACCTCCCCCCAATTCGGAATGGCAGACCTGCAGGCTGCATACAAGTGATCTCGGTGACAGCACTTCGGATCACTTGTACAAAACAAGCGGCGGCATCCCCAGCTGTACATTTAGCTCTGCTTGCCCAAAGCCGGGCTAAATGTAGAAAACAAGTACCCACCCGGCTCCCGGAACTGCATGTCCCAGGCATCGGGAGATAGGAATTCCACACCCCTGCTGCCCCTCTACTCCCTGCTGCCCCGAGGTCGGGCCTTGGTTGGCCTTGTGGGAAATCCGGCCCTGAGCGAGGGTTGTCTAAAGGTTTGCTTGTCCATTAACAAATAATTACATTTCATTACATACAAGTCAAAGGAACCTTATAAATTTCTGTATATATTTTCTTATTTATAATGCTCAGTGCTAAAATGTTTCAATTTCCCTATACTTACGTACATTTGAAACGTACTGGACATATGACCATATAGATATTTTTTTATTTATCTCTTTGAACCAGTAGATTGTGAACTCCAAGCAGGAGCTGAAGCCTTCTCCAGATTAAGCTGGCCATACACTAAGCAACGAGTATGGACGAATCTCCCGCCATGGTCAGAATACTAGAACGGTGACTGCAGTCACATTCCAGAAGAGAATTTCCCACCTAGCTCCCTCAATTTTCCCTCAGGATGGCAGCAGGAGGCTGCCGACACGACCACCCACTGAAAAAAATTTGCTCAGTGTATTGCCGGCTTTAGTCTACAAGTGTTCTGTGAAAAAGAACAGAAGAACTGGGCGGTCAGGTTACACAGTCTGTAGAGTGAGTCTTACAGGTGGGACATATCCCCTAACCCTAGCAGAAATAGGACTGGTATACAGGTAAATAGGAAGATATACCAAGGTGTTCCCTGAAATGCAAGCAGTGCTGGGCTTTCTCATTAAGCCCAGCATGCTTTGCAAATGAAGTGTCATAGATGTAACCTGTATGTAATATTTATTTACACAATACAAAACGTATTCACGTAGGTACACTTTCAAAGGCTATTATACTTTACCTTCATGCCACAGGCATCAAACCAAAGGTGCACCCAATGAAGGGACATCTGGTATTCACATACTTGTTCCTGGCCAATGTCTCATGAAGTAAAGTTATTTAAGTCGGCAATGGCAGCTCCAATATCTGTATTCTAGCAGATGGTTTATAGAGATGAACATGAAAATCCCGCCCTTACCCCATATCCTAAGTGTCCTGCTATCTTTAATTGCTAGATGGCAAAATCCTGAAATACTTACCTTTGCTGCAGAAACTGGTGCTAAGCTCCACCACCAATGTAGTCATGTGACCCGGCGCCAAACCATGGGTTGCATAACCTTTGCTGAAAGTGTTAAAGCAACTGATGCTCAGGCAGTGCTCGCCAATCAATGGACTCTGCCTAAAACTCTGATTCTCCCCTCCAGCTGAGACAACATGGCCAATAATAAAGCATTTGGTCAACAGAATGGCTTTGGAAAAATGCCTGTGCCCAACAACCCTGTGAATTTTAAGGGGAAAACAAATGTACCATACTAACCAGTACTAACCAGACACAGCCCCACCCCCTCTATGTCTAAATTTCCAACACCAATTGTATTCTTGAAATAAGATTGCACAAGTCAAATAAAAACAAAAAACAATTGAAACCTCAGATACGTCCAGTTCAAATCTGCATACACATGAACGTGCAGGAACTGTTAAGTTGTATCTATGGACTAAAACCTTTTTTTGTTTTCAAAGTTGAAGTAACAATGGGAAGAACATCTGCAATGATGGGTTTTTCTGCTGATTACCCTTCACTTCCTGTTCTAAAGACACTGCAGAAAGTGAGGGGAAAACTGTCCAAACTGTCACCAGAACAGCTGTCCACCTTTGATGATTTCCTCCCAACACTGTCCCAGTGGGAACTGTAAAATTTTGACTTGCCCTTAACCCCCTGTCTCGGTGTCCATGGTCACCAGGCCAAATAAAGAGGGTGAAACTGCCCAGCACAGAAACACAACACTTAAAGCCTGATGGGGTTCAAACCTTTCCCTAGCCTATCCAAAAGTACAAAAAAGGTTTTACTAGAGACATACTTTATGAACTGCAATTACTAGATATGTTATCTACATTTACCTCAATTTCAGCTTGTCCTTGCATAACCAGTCTTGAAGAAAAGCAACTGTACATACCACGAGCCTTGTTACATTTGTCACATCACAATAAAAAAATGACTTAGTTCCCTCCAGACGTTGTCTCTGGTTGACCTACCTGTGCTAGTCCTTGTTTCCAGAGGCTCCTGAAGTATCTCAGTAAGGGCGGTTGGCATCTTTCGGCCTCTTGAGCTGCACCTTCAGCCTCTTCATGCCAATCTGAAAGCCATTCATGGCCTGGATGGCCGCCTGGGCACTGGCAGGATTGTCAAAACTCACAAAACCTGTCAAAATACGAAGCGATGTGGGGGCTTAACAAGCCGAATTTACCGGAGGACCAAACACAGATAATGTAATTGCTAGGGATGAGGATGAGAAGGAGGGAGTTCAACGGAGGCAGATGATCATGAGCGGTTCATGTTGCATATCCTAAAAAGCAGCACCCAACATATCTAGTGGACAGTTGTAACTTTCCAGGTTGAAATCAGCACAGAAGAGACACAACCTAAAGCCTGTTCCTGAGACTCAAAAAAACTAAAAATTCTGTCACGTGGACACAATACTCCTGTACAGTGCTCCAAAAAACCAACACAAGTTGAACCAACCACACAGACCTCCAAAAATGAAAGGCAAAAATGTATTTCATATTGCGTATATTCTGTAATAAGATATTCTGTAGAATAATTACACACTTCAGCCATATGACAAACCTTTGGAACCAGATACTTATTTCCACTTCTACATGAAATATAGAAAATCATCAGACCAACAGTTTTTATGATTCACAAATTTCACACGTTCCACCAACAGTATCATGCCAGCCCTAACAAGAGGACACTTAATATAATTATTTATATGGATTTGAATCTGGAATTTTTTCTTCCCTGTTAGAGCAAATAGGACCATACTGTATGGGGGACTTTGCTTTCCTTTGGATCATCAAGAACAAATTGGACCATACTGTATGGGGGACTTTGCTCTCCTTTAGAACATCAAGAGCAAATTGGACCATATTGTATGGGGGACTTTGCTTTCCTCTGGATCATCAAAAACAACTAGGGCCATACTGTATGGGGGACTTTGCTTTCCTCTGGATCATCAAAAACAACTAGGGCCATACTGTATGGGGGACTTTGCTTTCCTCTGGATCATCAAAAACAACTAGGGCCATACTGTATGGGGGACTTTGCTTTCGTTTGGATCATTAAGAACAAATTGGACCATACTGTATGGGGGACTTTGCTTTCCTTTGGATTATCAAGAACAAAATGGACCATACTATATGGGGGTCTTTGCTTTTGTTTGGATCATTAAGAACAAATTGAACCATACTGTATGGGGGACTTTGCTTTTGCTTGGATCATTAAGAACAAATTGAACCATACTATATGTGGGAATTTGCTTTCCTTTGGATCATCAAGAGAAAATTGGATCATACTGTATGGGGGACTTTGCTTTCATTTGGAACATCAAGAACAAATTGGACCATACTATATGGGGGACTTTGCTTGTACAGTAACAGTGACAACCTAAGAGGGGAGTGCTGCTCATTTCCACTTTGTCTAGGGAGCTGAAAAAAGGTTATACTCACCTAAACCACAATCCTGGCTTGCCCTTAGACTGCTCCCTTAAGCCGTACTCCCCCTCTGCTCCAGGTGTGAGTCATCACGTTCTATACAGTGTATAGAACACAAGGATGCCAAGGGACATATCATCATTGGAGTGGACGAGACAGCCTGAAGGGACCAGCCTCAGAGCAAGCCGGGATTGCAGAGTATGTCTTGCATTCAGCATCCTCAAGTGGTTAAAGTGACCCCATTAGGCACTTTAAAAAAATCCTAATGGCAGTCTTCAGCAACAGAATGGACAATTTACTTTCTTCTCCCTCTTTGACCTTTATGTCACTACAGTATTCAGAAGTGAAGAGGAGTAGGAGGATGAACCCGCAATGCTTGGTAGGGAACATGGGAGTCCAATACTCCCAGGAATGTTAAATCCTGATGGGACTTAAGGATGCAGCAGTTCTGGAATGGAGTCAAGATAGGAGACATGGGCCCCCAGAGAGGCGAGTATAATACCACTTCTATTTCAGTAGACTGCCATTAGGATAACAGGGTCACTTTAAAAACTAAGAATAGATCTAAGCCATTCCTGGAATTTTTCCTGGAGTTGGCTTTGAACTCGGCATCAGCTATCCACCCGACGCCCCATCAGGAGGCATTAGCTGATCGTAGCCCGATTTGTGACAGCGCCCGGGATTTCGAACAAGAAGTTAATTCCGGATTGTTTGGCCAGTGTTAAAGTTTGAGCTGGAGTCAGTAGCAAAGCTGTCATTTAGATTTATCTTCCCAATAAGCCATCAACTTCATTGTAACGGAAAAATGCCTTCATTGCACCTTTGGGAGAATACAAGAAATTAATCTAAACATCAAATTAATTATGGTTTGCAAATGAGAAATTGCCTGCACACCTAGCAAGTTGTGTAGAAATCTTCCCTTGTGGCTAATTGCATTGACTCTTGCCTGCAATTTTTTGGGGGAAGAAAGGGGGGTGGCATTGGAGCTGTAAATTAATCATTCAGCTTTGGGTTCAAATGGTTTCCTGAAGTCACGCCTCTTCTTCTGGCTTTACAGGATCTTTTGTCTCCCTTTGTTGGCCATCCAGTTTCTAGTTTACCTGTACAGGCTGATCAAATACCACTCCTCCCACCCCCAAAAAATGTACGTGTTTTACCGCATGGTGTGGTAAGCAGTGGAGTATCCAGGGCATGGTACATATGGCATATGCCCTGGGCACCACTTGAAGGGCACGAGGGCTGCTCCGTGGGTTAAGGAAAGTTTGCTGAGTCACAGAGAATCTGACTTTTTTTCACTCTGACAGCCGTCCCAACCAGGTCCTGGCAACCAGTGATGTCTATGGTTTTCAGGAGCGCGGTCGGACGCTGGCCAGAGCGTCCCTCCTACTTCCTGGCAACCAGTGACGTCACTGGTTTCCAGGAGTTGGGCGGGACAACATAGAAAAAAAAACCCTGGCGATCCTGCCCTGAAGGTCATTGTTCAGGCACTTCCTGTCATAGGGTAACAACCTTTTGTACCTGCCACCCAATTTCCTCCTACAATGCCACCCTGTCACATGGCCTTACGATGGGGACTGCAAGTGGGTGTTTTACACACACATTACCCAGACTTGGTCCACTGGTGTCATTACCAGTAAACCCTTCAAAGGCAGCCATACTCCCGGTCTGTCCACCTTCATATGCCAGTGCCAATCCAGCTCATCTCTGGTAAGCGCAGTATAAATGAATGGATGACCACATGCCATGCGTTCCATGGCAGTGCAACTTGGATCGTGACTTAATGACCAAGGACAAATGTGGGTCCTGAGGTTACACACTGATTTAAAGTGTTGTTATCCATTCAATTATACTATATCAGTAAACCCTCTCTGAGAAATGCTATGCAACCATTGCTGGAGTGCGTGTAGACAGGATGTATAACAAAGGATGTGTAACAAGGGATGAAAAACGAGGTGGAAACGGTATTTTACCGAAAGCAATAGCAAATTTTTGTTATACACAGCACTTTAACATGTCATCTAGTTAGGGAACACATCTACTTTACAGGCCAGGGTCTATGTATTAGATTTTAGTATTGGCGGTGCCCGGGGTCTATTTGTCACCCGGTCCACTTTATTACAAAGTGTGCCTGAGCAATGAAAGCTGAGGCCAAGAGTTATAGTGCAGCTTGTTTTAATTCACATTTAAGTGCAAACTGCTAATTGCATTATCGGGCTCTTGGAAAAAAAAAAGTGAGAGATAATAGCAACATGTGAAAAAAAGATTACTAAAAAAAAAGATTGTAGCGGAGATTAAAATGATGAGTATAATTTGGCTGTTGCATGTTTTATTATAGCTGTACCGGTGCCACGGAGGTGAGCAATGAGCAGTGACGGGATCGATTTCCTACATTCAAAGCGGAACTCCAGGCAAACGGCTAAATAAGCAAATGACAAAATATTTGTATTCCTGTCCATGCAGTCATGGGATTTAGGCAGATCTGCCACATGGCACAGCCCTCTCTGGCAGGGCAGGAGACATGTTTTCTTTGGTGCAGTTAAGTAACACTTATGGGTCTTGCCCTTTCCCCAGCTTGTGATTGGACAGTACAGGAACAAGTGGCAGGCTGATGAGCTCATCTCTCTGCCCTCTCCTCTTATTAGCACAACTGATTGGCTCCTTCTCACAGTCTCAGCTCTAATGTACAGGAATTGCAAGAGGCTAATAGGAGTCCAAATTCAGGAACTTAAACTTATTGCATTTAAAACATATTTTCAATGGTGTATTAACGATTACATCTGCTCGGAGTTCAACTTTAAAACCCAATCCCAGCCCATTTTTTGGGGTAAATAAGGGGCAGGTTTGAAAGCTTTGCCAGATTATTAATATTGCTTCAATCCCAACTGGGTAGATTTTGTCTCACTTCCTGTCCTGGCCATTATGTAATTCCTCTGCATTACCTGCATTGTTTGCCACGGCCTCACCTGCAGTCAGAAAGCACAGTGGCCACCATTTTTGCATATTCTAGTTCCCTGGCTAGCATGCTGTTGATGTTGCAATGGTTTCAGTATGCTCCAAGTCAATGACTGATAGGTTAAAGCTGAATCCCAGTCAAAAATTCCCTTTGGTAGCTCTGACTTGTAGTCTAAGGGGCTATAATATAGAAACATACTTATTTTACAACTCGCTCCCCTTAAGTGGGATCTCAAAATCCTCCTGTACCGATAGCCCTGCATTGTACGCAGGGGCAACTCTAAAACAAACTGTGTCCCTGGTGTCCCATCCAGGTGGGTGGGATACCAGCCAGAGTGATCCAGGTTGCTAAGAGCCGGGTGGGTAGATGTGTAAGGGCCAATGTGAAGAGGAGTAGGGGATAGTCGGCAGTCGGGCAGGCAGGGCTGACCACAGGCTTGGGATTTTAGTGCAAGAAAGGAACTGTAATGTCAGCCCTAACAGAAAGTTAGCAGCTCAATGGTATTGTTCTGTAAACCGGTATTTTTCTGTAGCAGCACTTTTTAAGAGATAAACATTGTGAAATGTTCATGTATTGCATATATATACTGATCAGCCACAATATCACCACTACCCGCCTAATACTGAGTCGGTCCCCCTTTTCATGACCCATCCAGGCATGGACTCCACTAGACCTCTGAAGGTACGCTGTGGTATCTGCCACCAAGCCATCAGTAGCAGATCCTTCAAATCCTGCAAGTTAAGAGATGGGTCCTC